CGGTTTTAAAATGACTGTTTTGACGAGAAATTTTGAGAGGATGATCAGAACCTAAATTGAAACCAACGCACCGGAAATTTCAAAATGTGCATCAGTCTAATGTGCAAGCATACCAGAGTACAATACTCGTCTAATCGGTTACACAGACAGCACGAATGTAGATGAATGAGGAAAAGCTTAATCGATTACACCTGTAGCTGAAATGTCAGCAGCAACATCGAGGATTAGGGGGTGAGGGGGTACACCAAATAATGACCGCTAAATGTGTGGCGCACATAGGAGTATTTGATCCATAAAATTGACCAAAACTGTAAATCGCTGATTTTTTTTTGATTAAATTGGTTCAGTGTTAGCTAGTAATATGTTTTCTGAAAAATTGTGAATTGTTTTTTAAACAATTCACTTAAAATTGAAATTTGCTATTTGATCTATGCTTAATGATTTATCTAGTTAAATTTTTGCGCTATTTTTCATTGTCTATCACAAAATATCTTAGGTATAGAACAATATGACGTTCTGGACTCTGAAAAACTTAATGCTAAATTGTCAATAAAATTACAAATAGGAATCAGGAGAGAGATTTTTTCTGGCACTGTATTAAATAAATGTATGCTGGGAAAAGCCCGGAAGTAACTTAATCGTTAATTTTTGGTTCAACTGGGATTGAACCCAGGCCTGCTGGGGTGAGAGGTAATCACGCTTACCACTACACCACCGGCGCCGTTTGCTACGATATGTTGTCACTAAAAATTAAAAAAAGCATGAAATTTCCGAATTTCGGAGTTTTGGCCAATTTTTTGCGTTAAATATCCTATGTGCGGCGTGGGCTGTGGAGATACGGAAAGAAAGACAAATCATCCGATTACCACACAGAACTGTGACGCTATGCGGTGTTCTGTGTCTGATGGCGGTTGGTTGGTTGATGATCTTTTGCCATGGGAAAATGTGTAGGTTGAAGAAGCAGATATAGAACCATAAGCGGTTACACGGTTCATTGTAACCAAAAGCGAATGTGGATGATAAATCTGAAAGAAAGGGGAAGTGAAAGCTCCGAATAGTGCACCGAACAGCAGAATGCTATGATTTATGTCAGGGGGGCAATGTGGGGCGTCGGCATGACGACTTCTGTGCTGAGCCTGCCCGAAAGCCGAGAGAGAGAGAGAATGTGCACGATTGCAAAATTTCCACCCTCACAGCGTTCGTGCAAATGCAGGTAAAGTGCATTTCGTGGTAGCGCATCAAAAGCAATTAAACCGGGATAGTGTGACGTAGCTTTGTCCGTCAGGAAGCAAATGATACTAAGTGCTTTCTGTACAAATCTGGAAATCAAAATGAGATACTGTAGATTCATTTATATTTAATGCACAAAAATCATACGTTGAATCTGTGAATGAATTTGCAGAGAATTGAAGTTTATCCATAACCAATAGCTAAACAATCTTTAATCATGTCAATAGAATGTATCATTTTTGTTTAGTAGCGCGTAGACAATCTTAAATTAGACCAGGGTGGTCACTATCCCACGCTCCCTTTCTCAGAATCAATCGTCAAGCTTAAGTGTAGCTTATTATCGACAACCCGCTATGAAACCTCTGGAACCGCTACACATAATGTGTCACAGAAATGCACCGACTCAACCCTCCCGAGGCCGCCCGCCTGATCGACGCAAAGGAAACACTCTTTTGAAAAATCAAAATAACTCCGCTCGTTTTAATAAAGGTAAAACGATAACAATTATTGACGATTACAATTATTGCCGTTTAATCACACTTGTCCGAGACAGCGAGCGGCCGAGTCTCTCGCGTGGTGGATCCCTGTGCGGCGTTTATCAATCAAAACCACGCGAACTGACCGTGCCGGCCGATTCCTTCCCGATTAATGACTTGTGTGCATTTCTCGCCGAGTTCTGAAGCGTCCCTGCGGTTCGTTTCGGTGGATAGGATAGAAGGGAATTCGCTCGGTGAATGAGTGGAGGGGCAGAGGCGATCAATTTGAAAATCATTGCTCGGAAACTGGATCGCAAGCGGGAGTCAAAGTAATTGCCGGAATGCGACGTGCTTCTGCTCGCTGCGGGAGCGGCGTGGCGTCGCTTTTTGTTGCGGCAACACGTGGTATGATGCTGCTGTAAGGGGAGAATTCTCAGGGTTTGGTTTGATCTGGGATTGGGAAATTGTAACTACGTAGTAGATTTGTTGATTGATTCGACGAGCTAATGTGATAATGATAGTTAGCTCGATCAGTCTAAAGCGAAAAAATAGCTTAAAGAAATTCCAAAATCAAAGAAATAGAATCACGGGGGCCGCTTGATTGCCATGCATGCATGCATGCAAAATGCAGTTAAAAATTACAGTCATCTTTCGCTCGTTGGGCTGGGGATTTTCACACTGAGGTGATTTTTAATTGGGTGTTCGCTGGTTGGGTGACGTCTTTCCTACCTCCTGTTCAACAGTACACAGGAAGATGTTATGCAACGAGCGGGTTTGGTCTTCAATAAATACCTACAGTGAATTGATTTGTTATGCTGACGACGTGAAAATATAGTTCGAAATACATTTGAGACGTGGGTTTTAGAAACACATTAGGAGGTTGTGGATGTTTTCTTGATGCTCTGCTGATTGCAATACTGTCAAGTGATTTGTGATACATAGGTATTAGGGATATGTGGGTAGAGGCACATAATATATGTGGAACTTCGAACTGGATGCTATTCGAAAAGGGAATGCACATTGAAATGTGAAAATTGAAAAAAAAAAAGTTGATCTAAAACTAATTTCAATTAATTTGTATCCTCTTAAGAACATAAAATCCAAACTTTGCCTGAAGAATAAACTTCTAATATTTAAACAAGTTTTTAGACCGGCCATACTTTATGCTGTGCCAATTTGGCCTAGTTGTTTCACTGCCAGATCAAAAAGTATTTCAATCTTAATTGCAACGATTAGTTCTCTTTACACTTAGATAAGATTTAGTTCTAGTTTTTAGTTTTAAGCAGTTTTGTGGTTGTGGGTAGTCGAGGATAGTCGACGACTACTTAGCTCTAAACCGAAAAAAAAAGTTTACAAAATAGGTATAATACAGCATTTCAATCCAATATACATGTTCAGGTGGAAACTTGGGGCAAGACAGCTTTCGAGCATGAGTATAATCAGAGTTAATTTTGAGTAACTCTGAGTAACTCGCATTGCTCAACAACATTTACACATAGTGACCTGGTTGTTGTGTTGAAATCGATGCTGTCAAGTAAAGATAATTCAGTGGCAACATTTCAAAGGGGCGTTATTGCATTTGTAAATTTGTAATACGTATTTCAACAACTAAAACTTAACCGAGAAAATATTTAGGAAATGGGAAGGCAACTGCACCTTCGTATAGCACGCTGCAAAACATTAGCAACTACATAATACGGATTCTGATGGACAATCACAAGAAGGATTCAGGACAGTCCCAGCAGGATTCTGGACAATCCCTAGAAGACTTCGGACAATCTCTGGAAGGATTCCAGTCAATTTAAAAGGGGATTTATGACAGTCTCCGGAGGGACTCCGAACTAGCCTAGGGGTGATTCCAGACAGTTTTCAGAAAATCAATATCAGAGGGGACTTCGGGAAAACCCAACACGGATTTTGGATTGTCGAAAGGACGATTTCAGTAAAAAAAATAAGGGGCACTCATAACAGTCCAGAGAGGATCCCAAACAATCGCAGGAAAGATTCCGTACAATTCCAGGGAGATTCCAGACAATTACAGGGAGGACTACAGTCATCCAAAATGGAGGGTTCTGAACAATTCTAAGTAGCATGACAAAAAAGAGATCCCTTCGACGATTGCTCATGTAAGTGTTGGAATAGAATCAACTATGAAGTTGGCCAAAACTAATCTAAATATTGTGACCCGGGATGAGCAGCTACATAAGGGCCGTTCGTCAATGTTCCATTTGTGCTAAATGTGGATCATCACTACAACAACCAGGCGATGAAAATGTAGCCCGTTTCTGATCACAATTTTCAACTGTTTTTTTTTTTTTAATGAGCAGGAAGTTTCTAGTGACAATTGACCATTACTCTGACTTTTTCTAGCAAAATATTCTCGGAGATCTTCCATTACGGAAGCTTGTAAATTTAATTTTGCTGGTCACTGTACACCTCTATTATAAATAATGTGTAATGTTGAATTTCCTCAAGCCAGAAACTAATTCAACAGAACAAGAAGCCTCTTTCTTCGATTTTGAGAGGTTGAGTATTAATCTTCTCGTAATATTAGTTCAAATTCCAACTTCTTTGGTCTTGAAATCACACCACCACATCACGAAAAACTTTGAAGATCATTAATCCCTAGAAAGCATCCCCTGGCCTGGACAAAAGCAATGTAACTCGAATCTTTTAATAGACAAAAAGTTAATATTGAAATTTAATGGACATTATGCTATATTAAAGTTGATAATCTGACGCCAAATGTTAAATTTTATCTTAATTGAAAATATTTAAACAAAACATTCTGTCAGACGGTGGTTGTTTTCAGAACATCTTATGATGAAAAATACAAGGCTACTTTGTTAATTTTTGAGTAAATATGAGCAACTCAAATTTACCCACAGCAAATATATTTACTCTGAGTACAACTGTCTTGCCCCTTGTGTGTGAGTACAATCCATCGCCCTCTGTACCGGCAGAGTTTTTATGGAAGAAACTTATCTGCATTTTCTGTATGTCGAATGTGCAAATATTTTTAGCCCTGGAGATGGAAGGTGACAGCTCTATCGTACATCAAACGACCTATTTCAAGAATACCTGTTTCTGCACGTACATTCTGAGGTCATTTTCTGATACAATAAGCCCCGCAAAAATACACAAGTGTATTCTCACTTCCAGAATAAAAAAAAAAAACTTTTTATTCTGGCACGTATATAGTTATAAAATGATTGGGATATATGTGTAGAATAAAATAAAAAGCAAGTGTACTTATCTGGTTGTTCCAATGTGATGAGTGAGTCTCCATCGTACCGCCAATCTGCGTCGCAATTTCCGCGTACTTTTCCTTGCGGAAATCCTTGCGCGCCTCGTCCAGCAAAACATTGTGCAGTAAATTCCGATTCTGGTACAAATTCTGCACCAGCGAAGGATACGGATTCCCCCGCAGCTCCAGTACCACGCGCTTCCGATACCAGCCGGGATATTCTTTCGGTGCCTTGTACATCCGCGTGGCGGATTTTTTTTTTTTTTTTTTCCTTTATTATAGAGATTTTTAGCCTGAGGCTAGTTCATCTCTTACCGCGTGGCGGACACTTTGTACTCTTCGAACCTGGGCGCCAGCACCTTGAATAGCTTGTGCACCAGCTGCTTCTCCGTCAGCGAATAGTCGGCCATTTCCATCGTCGGCTTGTGGCAATTCCCGTACCGGATGGCATCGGAGATCAGCCGCTCGGTGTAGCCCCGCGCTTCATCCGCTCGCTGGTAGTTCAGCTCGATCCGTTCGTGTTTGATCAGCGCCGTCACGGTTTTGCGAAGCTTGTCGAGCCGCCCTTCCGGTCCGTCGATGTTTTTCAAGTTGCGATGACGGGGCTGGATAGCAACCTTCAGCTGTGACATCAGCTTGGCCACTTCGGCTTTGTTCATTTTTGGGTGTGTTAGCACTTTATTACGATAATTTCACTTTATATGTTGATTATTAAACTTGTGTATGAACAATTTCCGCACTGGAAACCGGTGATTATTCAATCAAAACACATTTTTCCCAAGACTGAGGATGAAACGAGAATCGGGGAATCACGAGAAAAAATCTTGGACAGGTTAAAATGGTTGTTTGTTTTACAAACTGGTCAAAAATCTTACATCAGAAAAAAATTTAAAAATTTAAAATTTTAAATAGTCTGTGCCCCTGACATACCTGCATGATCATTGAATTTTAAAATGATTTGCGCCCTTGGAAGACACCTTCAGGAAAAAATTTAAAAATATGTAAAATTTGAAATGGTAAGCTGGGGGCGCAAACATGTTCAGGTTAAAATTTATCGAAAAACCAAAATTTGGAGTTGTTTGCGCCCCTGGTAAACATGATCAGAGAAACATTTGAAAAAAAATATATAAATTAGAAATGGCTATAGTAACCTTGGACGACAATTTTACGGAAAAAATTAAAAACAAATTAAATTTAAAATGTTTTGCGCTGCTGGTAAACATGATGTAGGAATAGTTTATAAATAATGTTGAATTTTAAACAGTAAATCTTATTAGTTTTTACCTGAAATGGTTTACCAGGGGCGCTAGCATTTTAATTTATTTTTTTTATTTTTTCCTGGTCATATTTACCAGTAAATATGACCAGACAAAAATTAAAAAAATACTTAAAATGCTAGCGCCCTTGGTAAACCATTTCAGGGTAAAACTGATAAAGATTTGAAATTTGAAGAGTCTGGCGCTGGCGCCCCTGATGTACAGGTCAGCGAAAAATTAAAAACAAATATATTTAGTTTAAATGGCTACCGCTCCTGGTAGAAAAGCCCAGGTAAAAATAAAAAAAATATGTTTCATTTGTAATGGCTACATTTCAACATTTTCTGGGAAAAAATATCATAATCGCTAAATTTGAAGTGGAGAAAGAAAGGAGGAAGGTACGAATCGGGTTCATGATCTCCAGAGATACACCTCACCATTCCTCACCAACAGGGGAGTTTGGTAAAGTAGATGATCAACCCGATTCGTGCCTTCCTCAAAATTGACCTTTGCTTACTTTCTACTCTCTATATACAATTTTCACATTGCCGTACTATAACGTAACTATCAACTCTATACATTCATCTCCTCATCTATCGTATAAAAACGACAACTTTAAGTCTGATATTTGACGTTCAACATCTCCAACTATAAAAAAGGTAAATAGTACCACTGAACTGTTAAGAAGTTCATCCGGTTGAGGTTAACCACTAACGGGGCAAATCCTTACTGGCGGTAAGGTATAAATATTGACATGATGATGCTTTCAAAATTCTTTCACGGTGAGGTATGGGAGAGAAGTTTGGAATCACATAAAAAAAAGCCCGAAATCACTTCGGAAAGTACTGAATCACTTGAGAATCATTCGGAATCACATCGAAAGCTAGTTAATCACTTCATAAAAGTTCGGAATCACTTCAGAAAGTACTGAATCGTTTCAGAGAGCACTGAATAACTTATGAAAAGTTCGAAATCACTTCAGAAAGTACTAAATCACTTCAGAAATGTTTCACTCCGAAGAGTACTGAATTATTCCAGATAGTTTGTAATCACTTCCGAAAGTTCTAAAAATCACTTCGGAAAGAACAGAATCTCTTTTGAAAAGTTTTAAATCATTTCTGAAAGTACTGAATCACTTAAGAAATGCTCGAAAATTCTTCGAATAGTATTGAATGACTTAAGAAAATTTCTGAATCTTTATCTCGAACATTTGTAATCGCTTCCGTAAGAACTGAAAAATTCCGGAAAGGACTGAATCACTTCACAAAACTTCAGAAAGTACTGTATCAATTTGAAAAGAACTGAATTACTGCAAAAAAGGTTTAGAAAGTACTGAATCACTTAAGATAGTACCGACATAATTTAGAATGAGAATCTAATCTGTATTACACAGAATCGGACGTGTTCTCTGGATCTCAGCAAGGGCATCATTTTAGTGCAATTTTATTCATAATTATGAATTAAAGCCCAGCATGAATGAGAAAGAAACAAAATGCAGCTTGAAACATGTTCATCGAAAATAGTTACAGCCATTCAAAAAGCAAGTTTTGAAAGGTTGGGCATGCCTGAACTAGATAATACACTATTTGAAACAACGGCATCGGGCGAACGCGTCGTTATTTTAGGCAAATTTATATTTTAAGGGCGCAAGTCAATATTGGATGCGACTACTTACCTCAAATTTTAAGAACACAGCACTGGTTTTAAGATGTCAATTGTTTTACTGACATGCAGGTATAGAAAACCTGTTCAAAATACTGACAATTCAAGCAGGGACCATTTAAAAACACTTAGATATATATCATTACAATTAAGGCTGGTAAGTTGCTTTAGTAGCACCTACAGGTTAAAATGATATGTAATAAAGTAGAAGTAGAAGTAAATAATATGTTAGAAAACAACAATGTTCAATTATTAGGCCTAATTTGACATCAATTATGTGCGTAATTCTTGCTGAAAATTAAAAAAAAATTAGAAATTAGATTTTTGCCAAGAGCAACTTAATTTAACTTGTTTTCAACTACAATCTATTGAATGCTGATTGCTGATTCTGAATGTCAATTGAAAAGAGCATCTTCAAAAGGATACTAAGAGCTTAAAAACCTTAAAATAGTCAAAAATATACTGTAACAATGCGTTCAAAACCCACGAAAATGCTGTCCAAAACCTCACATGAGGAAATAAATCTAACGTGATACCAGTACCTTAATGAATATTTTTTGGTATGATTTTCTTTGTTAAGTTTTAAACACACATATTTAAGCCAAGAACTTTTTTCATTACAGATTTAGAAGGAAAAAATGTTTACAACTTATTGTCTATACCATCCTTATCCAAACAATTCTTTCCTTGACCGAAGTTCATTGACTGCTATTTATTAGCTTTGAGGAATATAATTAAATCTTTTTTTTTAATATAAATTAACCGTCACTAGTTCCTCGTGCAGATCGACCTTGTCATTGTGCATTGTACAAAAATGGTAGCTGACCAAACCATTACCGATTTGCACAGCCGCACGTGTCTTCTCAAATTGGCGCTACATGTACAACGTAAGCACTTATCGGTCATTTCCAACCCCTCTTAGAGGTCACTTTGTGAAGCTGAGAGTGGTTAAATTATCTTCCATCAACAAATGATTTGCTCACACTTCGATTTGCATACCGCTCACCTAATTTGGATTCAGTAATTTAATTATAAGCCGAAAAAAATGAGTGCAAAATGGAGTAGAAACTTTTCCTCTATTATCAATTGGTTAAGTATGTGTACACAAATAGAGTCACTCTCGCGTGGCAAATTAACGTAATTTTCAGGTGAACTATTAGATATTAGTAGGCCACCTCCAGAGTTGAAAGTTTCGACCTACGTCTATCTAAGCAATAATGTGCGCAATGGTGGGAGATCGGCCGATCGATCGGTTCGTGCGAAGCGGCCTAGCGAAGTGTGAACTTTTCTCCGAGATCGTTGGAGGGCATGACTCGTCAGTTTTATCTCCTATCTTGCTTTCGATGCTGGCCGTAGTTCGTTGGGCTAGGAGTTATCGTTCCAATATCTAAATTGCGTGGTGATGGGGAATGTGCGGTGGTGTTGTACCCAACGCAGACTCAGACTTGACGAAGATTAGCATCTTCAGTGGTTCATTATTGGCTGCAAGTACTGTGGTAGGGAGGTAGGCGGTCGGTCGTGGAGCCTCGGAGGCGAGTAGAGGTGGTTATTACCTAGGTGGAGACCTAATTTTCGTGATTACGATGATTTTCGGATCGGGAATTCAATATCTCAACTCAATACGCTGCAACCGTCTGTAAGGGTGGGTGCCCATGGTCCACGTATGGGATGAGCGAAATTGTGCAAATTTGAGCTGTTATGGATTTGGTGAGACGATGATGGTGCGTAGGTGATAATCGTGGGGAAATTTGATGCGGAGTATAGTCATCATTGAACAATATTTCATAAATGTCTTTAATTACATTTTACCACATAACATATTTCGAATTTCAAACTGAGTGCCTTTCAAAAAGTGAAGTCATTTCGCGCTCCTTGCTCTGTTATAACTGAATAACTGCACATCGAAATTTCAAATTTGAAAATAAACAACTGTACTAAAATTTAGTACAATTAAATAACAGTACGATTTGGAGCAAAAGCTGCTGTCAGACAAGCAAATTCTGAATTATTATCCTTTTGCTGAAACTCACAGACGAACAGGAAAATTACTGATTTGTTGTGATGCAGATCGATCCTCGTAAATGAAACCGATGCTTCGTAATTAACCGCAAAATAAGATTCGTTCATCAGTATTGTAAACAGTGCTGCAAAATTTCGAAAACACACGGTGATATTGACAATTTCGATTTGGTCACTCATTTTAGCTAAAGGGCCACCCACAATAGTCCGTCGCCGTCAGCGTCAACGCATCCGTCATGTACTAAAAATTCTGACGGACGCATTGACGCAGCGCTTGCGCACAATCATGCGTCACGCGTTGCGTTTTGACAGTAGCATAATCTCGTTTTGATCATTTGTTTTGGTAGAACATTCTGAATTTGGGAGGCGATTGGTGAATGGCGAGTTGAATTTGCCACCACCGGGCAAGTTGCCAGGCTCAAAAGAAGTGATGCCGTATTTCATTGTTGGGGGTACAGCATTTCCTCTTAAGAATAACTTACTCAGGCCATATCCAGGTGTTGACCTACCTCCAATTCAAGACAACTTCAATCAACGACTGTGCAGAGCCAGGAGGACCATCGAAAACAGCGTTGGAATTCTAGTGGCGAGGTGGAGGATTTTGAAGAACACGTTAGTTATGCTTCCAGGCTCGGTTGACAAAATTGTGAAAGCTTGTGTCATTTTGCACAACTTTGTAAAGAGGAATTCAGCGAATGATTACTGCCCGCCATGCTTCGTAG